ATATATATATAGCTGTCCAAAAAGGTGGGTATTCAACTCGCATGTGACCATGTGCGAGTCTTGGAGCACGTTCCCAGTAAGGACTGCGAACAATCAATGCAAGGGCAACTATTCACGTACCATATGTACCCGCTTACCATATGTCTGTGAGTGAGTGTGAGAACTACATCTTCGCTTGAGATTCGAATCCGAGACGGATCCGATTGATCCGTGTGCGAATGGGGTATGTAGTTGTGAGCTGTGGCTATTGTTGTTGACGACTGCGTAGTGCAGTGCCCAGCCCCAATAGATAAGGACTTTCTCTATAGGGAAACTCTGCAGACTCCAAGCAATAGTAAACCCCCTTCAACTTACAGACGAAACAACAACACTATTAATCTCTTGCTACTGACGCTATTACACTACACAAGTAACAGAACAAAGCCGAAGAACCACGCGATTCTGTACAAATACAGACCACACCACACCCACACACCTGCCGACTGAGTAGGAAACCGGCTTGCAGGTAAACAAGACGCGGTTGTATGTGTGGCGCCCCTTCTGCACCGATGCGAAAAAAGACAACAGCGATTAGCCAGAGCCTTTGGGCATTTGTTGCCACAACCACCCCCCAACCACACACACACACACACACACACACACCCCACACACCTCAAAGAATCACATTGTTCTGAAGCCTACCATATATAGTAGGCCCTGGCAGAACACTTGAGGCAAAGAGGAATTGGCCGTGTTGTGAGGCTTCGAAGCAGCTTGTCATTCGTAGCAGGGGTGTAACGTGTGGGAGAACAAACCCCTGCGCGACCGTATCTCAACTTCACGCGTGCCTATCTCTATGGTTTTAACTATACTGTGCGGTTACTAGATCGAGCATGTGGCGAATCTACCTACTTCAACACCCAGCCTATTCAGGATTGTTCTATGTATATTGAAACACGTACATTAATTGCCTTCGCAAATGTTCTGTATTTGCATAACACCACAATACACCCACACAAACAAAGAGCCTGTATCAACACTGGGCTCTATATTAGACTTATATTAGACTTACTACAGTATGCACATCTCCACTTTGATTGGTGCCTATAAATACAGCAGACGCCCACGCATACATGGTGTCTATTTCGACAGTGTGCTTACTTGTTTTTTACCAACAGAAGTATGAATCAATCCTCAATACGCCCACAATTGCATCAAACAACATCACTCGCCCACATCTGGACTAGCTATGCCATTCGCACAAGCGAATACGCTATCGCCCCATGATACGTGTGAAGGCCTACCGTATGTAAACCTACCGCTACATACATAGCAACGTATGTAAGCCTACCGTATGTAAACCTACCACTACATACATAGCAACGTATGTGAGCCTACTGTATGTAAACCTACCGTTACATACATAGCAAGTATGGTCTACTACTACAGGAGCAAATATCGTCTATTGCTACAGATGCGATACTTCATATCACCACTCCGCAGCACGATACCACACAAGCGTCGCACGAACAACACATATGCTACCACTGCACTAGTCAGTCAAACAACACAAGTCGCATACAAAGGGCATACACTGGGAACCAGGAGGCAGTAGTCGTATATATATATATATATATATATATATATATATATATATATATATATATATATATATATATATATATAGTACTACTATGTACG